TAAGGTGGTTCATAAACAACCAAACAGAATTTGCAGTGTATGGCCAGCTTTAGAGGGCTATTTTTATCTTGGCATGATGACACCACACATATCAGCAGCAAACACCTGTAGGGCTGCAACAACTAAACGATTATAATCGATGATGGAAACGTCAACGTTTTCCATCATCGATTAGTCGGCTTTCGATTAGTTGCCCCTGTTCATGGCGCCACACCTCCTCCCTGCCTCATGCTCGCCACTGCCAGACATGCTCGCCGCTGACAGGCCCACCCGCATCCATGATCGGCACAGGGACATGGGGAGAAGCATGGAGGGGTCGACAGCCGCCGATCTTGGAAGGAAGTTGCTGGAATACTGCTTGGATAAAGACTGCGCTCTGACCCCCCCCCACATGACACAATTTAATGTATTGCTGGGATAGTACATTATACAGAGCAATATACCATCAGCTATATGGGCATACAAATCCCAGCAATACATTATACACTGTATAATGTACTATTGCTGGGATTTGTTGTATTACTCTATAGTTAGTGGTATTCTGAATTGAGCTGTATAGAGGAGTACAACACATCCCAGCAATAACATATTATACAGCACAATACAGAATACCCCCAGCTATAGAGGAATACAACAAATCCCAGCAATAATGCAGAATACCCGCAGCTATAGAGGAATACAACAAATCCCAGCAATAATATATTATACTATAATGTATTGCTGGGATTTGTTGTAGTCCTCTATAGCTGGTGGTATTCTGCATTGCGCTGTATAATGTAGTATTGCTGGGATTTGTAGTCATATAGCCGGTGCCATTCTGCATTGATTGCTGTATCATTTTACACTTTCCATTTCACTATATTGCACACCAGTTTTATTTTTTATTTCATGGATCTGAGGTGTGGCAAATGTATGGGGAACCTTACTTTTTTTTCATATGACAAATCTGCACTTTCATTTATTTTGACCATGTGAATGAATGTCATGTCAATTACATGTCGTTTGTTTAACTATATCGGGGAAAAAAGGGGGGGTGTATATTCCCTGGAGCTCCGATTATATCAAGTGTATGCCTTGTATAGTTGGGACTGGTCATCAAAGTCATGTAACCAAAAAATAAGGGCACAAAAAAAGCAACAGTGTTCCAAATGAGTACTGTAAAAAGCGGTTACGAAGCAGAACGAGACCGGTAAATATTTATAAAAGTATCAACTTTATTTGAAAACATCAAAGTATCGCACCAATAATACCGCCTCTCAATAATTTCGTAAAAGAACAACGTTGTTCATAGCACTCATGCATTCATTCATTCATCCTATGGGCCCCACACAGTCTACGGCAATAAATATCTTCAAGGTACAAAGGAGATAGGAACCAGGTGTTAAACTGGGAGTACTATTGGTAATTATGTCACTGCTTGGCGATGATGTTTAGCTCAGAGAAGATAGATCTTGTATATCGACTTAAGGATATAGCTATGACCAGTTCTTTTTGCAGGTGATACATCCAGGAATATAGTGGATGAAATCTGTTGATCGGTTGTTGGAGAGAGGAAGTCTCTATGAATAGTGCACTTAGGCCCCATTCACACCTGACCGTTTTGTAGCGCGTCCTACGCTCGATGAACGCTCTACAAAACGGTCAAAAAAATAAATAGCACTGTAGTCAATGGCCTCGTTCCCACCTGTCCGTATTTCCGCCCGTCCCGAACCCACTACAAAACGGCCCACGCATGAAAAGGTCCCGGAGCGTTTTTTGCTGCGTATTGGTCCGTTTTGTAGGGCGTTTTCCATTAGTATACTGCCAAGTAGCCTTTGGAATCGCGCGACGGTCGCGCGGCTTTTTTACCGCGAATCGCGGTAAAAAAACCGCGTGACAGACGCGCATATTACAATACGCATAGGTGTGAATGGGGCCTTAAGAATAAATTCAGTCCACTAGGGGCATGTATGTATGCATTGGCCTCCGTATGTCGGTACCTTTTTCGTAGCTCTGTTTGTTAGAGGATATCAATCACATTGTTTTCTGAGTTTGTTCAGACTTTCCCATAACAATAAATTCCTCCTGTTGGATTTATTCAAGGGGGAGACCTGTGCGGGACCAATTGGTAGTAGGTAGTAGTCGACCGTACTCAGTTGTCTCGTACCCCCTCCTTTTTGGGTCTGGGAACTCTTGTAGTTCAGCATTGCCCCCGGTAGTCAATTTAACCGTGACCGTTCCAGGTCCCAACAGTGAGAGGGAGAGGAGAGTGTATTAGTGTATTAGGCTACATTCACACCTGTAAGTTTAGGTGCAATTTAAGTATTCCTGCACCAGGAACTTGCATTTCCTGCAGTAATGATCAGGTGACAGCAGCCAAATGTAAATGCCTGTAATGGTACGTGATATAACTACATGCGGTTAGAAAACACTCTCCTTGGATGCACAATCAATGCGTATTACATGCGCATTCGTTTACATGCAGCTGCTGTCACTTGAACAGGTGACAGCTGCGACTTGTAAACACCAGATTAGTGATTCCTGCTGCAGGAAAGTGCAAGTTCCTAACGCAGGAATCCCTAATCGCACCTGAACCTACAGATATGAATGGGGCCTTATTGTGTGTATTGGTGTCCGTAGTACCAATCCGGATACAGTTTAATTTTATTTTAAAGTATGAAATTTGTCAAGCGGCCCCCATGGGAGAAACATTTGTCGCGTGGCCCCCGAGTTAATTGAGTTTGAGACCCCTGTTTTAGACTTTGGCAACAACAGCGATTTGAGGACCTATTGTGTTTAGCTACCACTATGTAGGTGGTAACTATAATGCGGATTGTTCAACCAACGGCAATCAGAATTTATGTTTGTGACCTCTTTTTCAGTATTTTTTAACAGTTATACGAGCTGTTTTACATGCCAATTTAAAATGTTATTCTGTCTCTTGAATATATCTTTGTCACTTTTTTATGCTTTTTATGATGCTTTTTATATGCGCTACCATTCTTTATGGATGATGCCCTTACTAAAACCTGTAAACCTAAGATGCAGCCAGCAAGATAAAAAATAAAAAAAACTTGGAAGAAACAAAGTGCCGAAGTGTGCACATAGAACAAGGGGCCAGTTTGAACTTTCAGGCTACATGTAGTAAATGAGTTTTTGTGCCATTTCAGTTGTCTGCATGTTAAAAACGGAGCAGAACGTCACAGACGTTTTGTTCAGTTGTGATGTGTAAACAAATGTTACATCTGCTCAGGTGTAAAACCTGACTAGACAGCTGCACTGTAATTTAAAATCATTACTTTTCTTTATACCGGATATTACAGCTCCCACTGTGCTTCCAGCCTGCTCTGGATATAAAAGCTGTGGGTCACAGACTGCAGCCCTGGTATTGATTTTCCGTTCCTCCTTGACCATTTACAGAATACACAGTATTGCAATGAAATTAGAAATAAATAGGCAGCCAAAACATTGCGCATGTTTAGGGGTTCACCAGGTGTGATTGGGGCCTTACCTTTTTTAGACAAAAAAAAGGCCCCAAGCTGTGCTGTCAATAAATGCAACATCGTTTCATCTTGTAGAATACTTAAAGTATTGCAGATGCACCTTTTGGCTCCAGATCTGTTCGTTGCCCAGAGGTTGTAGGCTTTCCACACCCCTCCCTCCCCTTTAATGTGTAATTCCTTTCTTCCTTGTTGCAGGATCTATGTGTTGACCTCCTGAAATTCATAATACATTCAAATGAACTCCCTGAAGTTGGGAATAGCCACTTGAAGTATGGGGTCAGGGCTTTTCCCCATAGTTCTCCTCAGGGTCATGGGAGGACACAAACTAGTGTTCTCCCGTGACCCAAAGCTCAGTATACCGCGAGCTACAGCTCGCGGTATGCTGAGACGCCGCAGCCGGGACAGATCCCGACATTGCTGTGGAGATCCACCCAGCTCCGGGATTGACAGCTAGCTTTGCCTAGCCAGAGACGGCTGTGCCCGCCCCCTCCCCCGTCCGTTCCTCCAGTCATCGCTGGAGGATCAGACAGAGGAAGGGGGGAATCCCCTGCAGGGAGCCGTGAGTGACAAGTCACTGCTCTCTGCAGGGATAGATCGAGAAGTGAGCAAGCGACAGTATGTGTTCGCTCACTTCCCTATCTACTAAGCCGACCTGTGACAGTTTCATTGTCACAGGCAGGCTCAGATTATGAGGCTGAGTGAAATCACTCGCCTCATAATGCTCCTTTTTTACAGGAATGTTTATGGGCTTTGTATGAAGAGAGCCCACCCATCTACCTACGTAAAACTGTCAGTGACACATTCCCCTCCCTGCCCAATCTGTGTCCGGGACATTCCCTGTCCGTTTGTTACGACTTGTCACTGACCGTTTTGTGCTCTGTTTGCACCAAGCCTGCACATAACGCTACTTTTTGCCAGATCTAAATCTGTCTGCAAAAAAGATTTTGCTTGCACAGATCTACAGGTAGCACAGAGAGAATTTATCAAAACTGAGTAGACAAAAACTGGAGCAGCTGTGTACAGCAACCAATCCGCTTCTTTCATTTTCATATCTTAACTGAACAAACTGAAGAGAGAAGCTGATTGGTTGCTATGGGCAACTGCTCCAGTTTTGATAAATTCCCCCCTGTATGTTTTCTTGCTCTAGGCCTTATTGCCAAGAGAAAGAGCTGCTTCTTCACAACTCAAGCAGTAAAGAGCATTGATCATATGCTACGTTCGGCACAGTCAGGACAAGTACAATATGGCGCTCCTAAATGAAAACCTACACGGTGTGGAATTACAAGTGTGTACATGGCACTACAGTGTTTAGCCAAACGGCTTGCAGGACCAAGATCCTTTTTAAAGCAATGATTTGAGAATTCTGTCTAGGTGTGTACTCCGCACTTATTATTGGAATGCTTTCTAAACAGAAATGCTTGCTAAACAGAAGCACAACTGACTAATGACAGATTAAATGTACTTGAAATATAATTAAAAACAACCAGTTAACATTCTCAATGTTTTTATTCTCTTTAGGAAGAATTCAAGGAAGCCCTGGCTGGTGCTGGACCCAAACTTGTCATTGTAGACTTTACTGCTACATGGTGTGGGCCATGCAAAATGATTGGACCTATATTTGAAGTACATTTTTCTCTGAGGGTTTTTTTTTTTTTCTCTCTCTAAATCTTGTCCATTTTAATCTAAACATGTAATGTATTTTAGCTTGCAGCCAATACATGTCAGCTATTGGCCTCAAAAGCTTTTTCTTTAATGTTCATTAAAGTGACAAACCCTCAGATTTTTTTTTTTTTTTTTTTAACATAAACCAATACTGTAATGTGCGCCTTACTGTAATCCATGGTAGTTTCCCTTCTCTTTGCTGCTCTTTTAAATCCTCATGTCTTCTCATGCTGGGGAGGACTTCCCTTTGCAGCAGACTGCCTCTTCCTGTAGTGCTGGCTCAGGTTGCAAACCTACACACAGACACCATGTATCCATTCCAGAGACAAGGCAGTCTGCTGCAAAACAGTTCTGCCCAGCATGAGAAGAGATACAGATTTAAAAGGAAGAGCAGCAAAGAGAAGGGAAACAACCATGGATTACAGTAAGGCACACATTACAGTATTGTTTTATGTTAAAAAATCTGAGGGTTTAATGTCACTTTAAGGACAACTGGATCAGAAATGTATCTGATACTATTAGGTTATACTGCTGCCTGAAAGAAGATTTGAACACTGGCACACACATAAAGCTGGCGACCAACCAACTTATAGCTCTAATTTACTTCAGGTTTCATGGATAAATCCCAGCCAAGTCCTACTTTCCGAACGCTTTTGGTTCAACAGGTATAGGAGCCATTAGGCTCAATTCACAAAGCTCATACTCTAGGATGAGGCTCTGTCTTTTCCAAAAAGTGAGTTCTTGTAATCTCAGGCCAATGGGTGGGATGTTTATTTACAGTCACATGGCTAAAGATCTCTTCCCGTGTATTGACAATTTGGGAATTGAGCCAATCGTGTCAGGTTTTTCCTGTGTCCATCACAGTAGCGAACACTAGGAGAACAATGGTGTCAGTTACTTTTACTTTCTGATGGGGGTTTTGATCAATCCACATGCTACCATGTTTTTACTGTTATAAGGTGCTCCGTTAAAGTTTGCCTCACACTTGGGCCTCATTCACACAAGAAAAAGCCAGCAGGTACAGCTGCGTGCACGGCCGTATTGGGCAGCTCACGGGGAAGGACAGGTGCTGCGTGTGATTAGTACGCAGCCCCTGTCCTATATGGGAGTATGCGGCCGTACACCACCCTGCACGTCTGTGCGGGTGTCCATACTCGTACACTGACGGGATGGATCCTCTCTGCGTCTGAGCTGGGACACCCGTACGGACCTGCACTTGGGGTGCGCATAGGGCAGCGTATGGCCGCGTACTCCCATAGTTACATAGTTACATAGTATTTGAGGTTGAATAAAGACATTAGACCATCAAGTCCAACCTATTAGGATCTCATTCTAGGAGTACCTGTACCCCTGTATATTACGGTCCCTTAAGAAATCGTCCAAAAGTTTCTTGAACAATTCCACATTATTTGCTGAAATCACCGCCTGTGGCAGTGAGTTCCAGACCCTAACTGATCTTACTGTGAAGAACCCCCTTCGCACCTTGTGCTGGAATTTTTTTTCCACCAATTTTAGGTTATGGCCTCTAGTTTTTGTAACGGAGTTAATTTTAAACAGTTTATCGCTAATGTTGCTACCACCATTAAACATTTTGTACATGGAAATCATATCCCCCCTTAATCTCCTCACCTCTAATGTGAACATGTTTAAATTTAGTAGCCTTGTCTCGTAGCTCTGGTCCTCCATGCCCCTAATTAGTTTGGTTGCCCTTCGCTGGACTTTTTCCAACTCAAGGACATCTTTTCTTAGTACTGGTGACCAGAACTGGACCGCGTACTCCAGATGAGGTCGAACCAATGATCTATAAAGTGGCAAAATTATAGACTTGTCCCTGCAATACATCCCCTTTTTAATACAGGACAAGACCCTGCTAGCTTTGTTTACAGCAGCCTGGCACTGCAAACTACCTTTCAGTTTGTGGTCTACAATGACCCCCAAATCCTTCTCCATTTCTGACTTCCCCAGCGGCATACCCATAATTGTATAACCCATTTGTTTATTTTTAATTCCAAAGTGCATTACTTTGCATTTATCGACATTAAACCTCATCTGCCACATTAATGCCCACTCCCCTATTTTATCCAGGTCCTCCTGTAATGTTATAGTGTCTAAGTCCGTGTCTATTACCCTCCCTATTTTGGTGTCATCCGCAAACACGGAAATATCGCTGTTAACACCCTCCCCGATGTCATTAATAAATAAGTTGAACAATATGGGACCCAGCACAGAACCCTGAGGCACACCGCTCATTACACTAGCCCAGTCTGAAAAGGTGCCATTTACAGATACCCTCTGGACACGTTCCCGTAGCCAGTTCTCTATCCACGTACACACCACCTCATCTATGCCCATAGCCCTCAGCTTGTGTAGCAAGCGTTTGTGTGGTACCGTATCAAAAGCCTTTGAGAAATCCAGATATACCACATCCACCGGCTTACCTCCGTCCATATCTCTACTTACCCCCTCATAAAAAGTTAGCAAGTTAGTTAGGCAGGAACGGTCTTTCCTGAACCCGTGCTGATTGTCATTAACTATCCCGTTTTCCTGAACAAATTCTACCAGATAATCCTTTATTATGCCCTCTAGCATTTTACAAACTACCGATGTTAGACTGACCGGCCTATAGTTCCCAGGTTGGCACCTTGCCAGAGAAGGACAGGGGCTGCGTACTAATCACATGCAGCACCTGTCCTTCCCAGGTGCTGCCCGATACGGCCGTGCACGGAGCTGTACGTGCTGGCCTTTTCTCGTGAATGAGGCCTTACTGTCGCGCTGATTACCTTTTCACCAGGCAGAAACTGAGAGAATATCTGCAACAGGAAGATGGTAGTAAAAAGCTGATCCAAAATAAATAAATACATTTTGTCTGGGCCTCAACTTTAATGCGATCTGCCTATGTTTCCTTCTAGTTAGATAAAAAAAAAAGATGTAAAGAAGTAGCGTTGTAGAAGGTCTTTATTAATTGGGAGTACCCGACCTGGTAGTGTCTTAGCTCTAGCTGCATGCAAATAGGTTATGTATTTACTGTGAACAGCCATAAAGAATAATCCACATCACAAACCCTAAGGGCAGAACTTTTCTCTGGGGTCGTGCGCTGTGCATATGTGTTCTCAAGACAGCAGGACAGGGCCGTAAAGATGAGAAGCTCTGCCAAAGATTTGGCTGAACATTGGCATCTCTGCAAAATATGGTCTGCAGGAGATGTCTGTATATTGTATTATTGGTGTGATCAGCAGTGTGTGTGGGGGGACATGTAGAATATTTAGTACAAGGGTACAGGGCTCTAAGTAAACTAGTCATACTTGTAAAATTGGATCAACAGCCTAATATTGTATTGTGGAAAAGAATACTGTTTTTTTAAACGCCACGCTTTAAAATATCACATGCCTTTCTTTTTGTTTTATTTTCTTTTTTTGTTTTTTAGGCTTTGAGTCAAAGTCACCCAGATGTTGTGTTTCTTAAGGTGGATGTGGATGATGCACAGGTAAAAAAAAGCTCTAGGCTTGCGTTTCTAAAATAACTCTTCCAGGAGAACCAACCTTTATAATACAGTGCACTTTAATAATGGGAAGGTTTAGTGTATTTCTTTGCATCGCATATTGAATAGCCATAGCAAATTTGATAACTTCAGATTGTAAATTTACCAGTTTTATAAAAATCATTTAACTAACTAGTATGTTTTTGAGTAGTGGAAGGAGACTAGAGCATCTATATTACACCCTATAGTCTGCATAGTGTTAACTGTGTTGCAGTTTAACCATGGCTTTAGTGCCCGTTCACACTACCACACGCGTGCCATTCATTTAAGTCACCTCCCGTCCGCAGTGCAATTGGGCGCAAATGCGGTGAGGTGCTTCTGGAAAAATAGTGCATGCACTATTCAATCGCAAGGCACACTATTTACAATACAGTATGTTGTAGTGTGGACGATTGCACTGCGGGCGGGAGGTGCGTTCAAATGAATGGCACACATCCCACACTGTAATCACACGGGAGTCGCATTGTGCAGTACCATGTGTTAATTGCACAGAACTGTGCGATAAACACACCAATGGTGTTGTGCACAAGCCCTAAACGTAGAACTGTGCCAAGGCTATAGACATTCAAATATTTTTACATATTACTAACAAACCGTAAATCTGCTTTTTAAAATGACTTTCAACAGGCCTGCCGGTTTGATGGTTCTCAATGGAGGAAAGTGTTGGGTTAGTTAAGTTGGACTAGTACTGGTAGATTAATAAGGGCACGTGTCGACAGTAGCTGTTTGACTTCAGTTTGAGACACTTCTGAAATTCCTGACATTCAGAATTTATTGAGAAATGCATTTAACTTGCAGTTAACGTCCTCCTGACCTGCAGTTGACATTCAAACTGGTTTTGCATTCCCTTATATGAGGTTGCAAAGCCCATAAGAAGCAACAAAAGCTTGCTGACATTGGCACTAATACTTGCCTGTGATTGGGTGGCAAATGCTATGGGTGTCCCCTTATCACTTAAAGCACATGTTTTAATAATACACAACAATTACAATTTATACCTGACCTGGATGTTATGACTGGCCAGATTTTTGCTATCCTGTTAATGTCGGCCTGATTTTTTTTTTTTTTTTCTCTTTTGTCCTTAATACCAATTGTTTTGTAGGATGTTGCTCAACACTGCGATATCAAATGCATGCCAACTTTCCATTTCTATAAAAATGGATCAAAGGTATGTAACTTCACTATGTTGCTAAAACTGTTGCCAGTCTATTTTGAAAGCATACCTGTTTAATTTGTTTTTGCCGGGGAGGGGGAGAGTTGCATAAACCACTTTTTTGAAGCTATCGGATCATTGGTGGGGGGGAAAAAATACATTATGTGCATAGCAGCCAGTTGGAAATAACCTCTTAGATTGTTTGTTTTACGGGTTATGCCTCATTACTATAGTACTTTTTTTTGGAAGAGCCTGAATGAATCTTAAGCTGGCCATACACTATGTGACTTTCATCTGGTTCTTCATGAGTGGGTGTCCTTGTCGGGATCCTTCCGCCCAGAATACCTGAATCAGAAGATTAAAGGAGCCAGTTTGGAAAATCTTTGGCAGAACTGTTGCAAGCACCAGTCAGGTATTCTGACAGCGACTGTGGTCAGAATACAATAGAAAAAGCGGGGGCATTCTTCTATCCACGCTCTTTAGGCTAAAAAAAAGTGTATAGCCAGCTTTTTAGTCTGGGAGAATTGTGTGCGTGTGTGTGCGCACATATGCAGTTGTAATCAAAATTATTCAACTCCCATTGCAAATCCAAGTTTATTGGTAACATTTACTATCAGTTGTTTGCAATGAACAAATCAAACAAAAGCAATAGAAATTGGTCAACACTGTAAACGTTTCAAGTGATTTCCCCAAATTCTATTAAAAACAACTTTTAATTACTTCTGCAGTCTCAAAATTATTCAACCCCTTGCTGTTTTATGACCTGCTGCATAGCCAGACACAAGCTTCTGGCAGAGTTCCTGAGGAATTTTAGCCCATTCCTCACTAATATTCTTGAGTTTGCTTGCCACAATTGCCTTCTTCAAATCCCAATAGAGATTTCCTATGGGGTTTAAGTCAAGTGACTGATGACCACTGTAGAATCTGGGACTTCTTCTGCAACCAAGCCTTGGTGGGATTTGAAGTGTGCTTGGGATCATTGTCCTGTTGGAAAGTCCAATGATGTCCAAGCTTCATCTTTCAGACGGCTTGACATTTTCTCCTAGGATTTCCTGATCCTTCAATAAATCCATCTTGCCTTCCACTGTTTTACAGTGTCAATGAATGCAAAGCAGTAGTATCACGCAGCCACCACCATGCTTAACTGTAGGCAGAGTTCTTTTCAGTGTATGCTTCATTCTTCCCCCAGACATACTGCTGATCTATAGGGCCTCAGTGCCTGTTGCCACCAAGTCTTGCTGAAGGTCTTTTGAAGTCACTCAAGGCTTTTTCTCAATCCACCTTCTCAGAAATCTAGTTGTAGCCGTTGATGGCTTCTTTTGTCTGCCCCGTCAAGGTAGTATAACCACTGTTCCTTTAACTTTGCACTTGGGAACTATGCTTCCAACGGTGTCTCTAAGAACATTGTGCCTTCACTATCTTTTGGTATCCTGTTCCTTGTTTGTGAAGGGGGATGATCTCTTCCCTTTTTTTTTTTGACCATTCTTTTGCCTTAACCCTATTTCTAACATGCAAACATGCAGTCAAATCTGACACTCAACAAAGCCCTAGCCAGTTGCGGTATTTCATGTGTTCTAGCTTGAGCACACCTGGTGCAACTAATTAACTGCAACTAATGGTGCAACTTTGATCAATTATATCAGGTGTGCTTGAGACAACACCTGTTTTGCATATGCGTGCTCTTGTGAGGAATTCTATTCAGAGGGTTGAATCATTTTGAGACTGCTTGATCCATTCGGTTTGTAAAAGTTGCCAATGATTTTGATTACGACTGTACATGTAAAAAGAAAAGTGCACCCCATAAAAAGTGAGTGACTTTTTTAATTGGCAAAAATGAGTTATTCAAACAGTGCCTACAGATGATTTTATACTTGAACAAGTGACACATAAAATAAACGTGTTCTATTCATTCTTATGATTAAAGAGAATTCAGATTTGTTACCACCACTTAAAATCCACGAAATTAGATCTTTCTTTGGTAAACTTCAGGTGAAAGCAGTCTTATTTAAAGGTGAACTATGGGGTTAAGGCTTTTCCCCATAGTTCTCAGGCTAATGGGAGGACACAAACTAGCGTCCTCCCGTCACCCTAAACTCAGTATACCGCGAGCAGTAGCTAAGACGCTGAAGCGGATCCCGACAATTTTATGTCTGGATCCTCCCAGCTGCGTGAGTGGCAGCTGGCTCTGCCTATCTAGAGGCAGAGCCAGCTGTACAATCCCCCGTCCGTTCCCCCAGTCAGCGCTGGTGGAACGGGGAGGGGGGAATCCAGCCCCTCCCCTGTCGCGGCAGAGAGCTGTGACCGGATCCAGAGGTGAGCGAACGCCGGTATCTGTTCGCTCATCTCCCAATCCACTAAGCCAACCTGTGACAGTCTCATTGTCGCAGGTCGGCTAGAACTATGTGAGGTGAGTGAAAAGCCCTCGCCTCATAGTTCTCCTTTTAAACCTCAGATATCGAGGGATTTTGTTTTCTCTTTACTACTGATTGTTAGTGGTATCATTTCAAGATCAAAAGAGCTCTCTAAGGCCGCCGGAAAGAAGGTAGTAGATGCATATTAGTCTGGTAAAGGATTTGGAAAGATTGCCAAATTATATGAAGTCCATTATTCCATTGTAATTTTAAAATCTACAAGTGGTATATGTTTCAAACAAGTGCTAATGTTGTCCAGCACTGGCTGGTTCTGCAAACTCAACTCATCCCAAGAACTGGATGCCTCTGCAAATTCAGCCCAAGAACTAACAATTTAAAGGAGAACTATGGGGTCGGTGTTTTTCCCCATAGTTCTCCTTAGGGTAACGGGAGGACACAAACTAGCGTCCTCCCGTTACCCTAAGCTCAGTATACCGCGAGCTACAGCTCGCGGTATACTGAGACGCCGGAGCGGATCCCGAAATCGACGTCGAGATCCACCCAGCTGCGTGAGTGACAGCTGGCTCTGCCTATCTAGAGGCAGAGCCACCTGTACCCGCCCCCTCCCCCGTCCGTTCCACCAGTCAGCGCTGGCAGATCGGAGAGAGGAATCCAGCCCCTCCCCCTCTCACGGCAGAGAGCCGTGACAGGATCGAGAGGTGAGTGAACCCGGTATGTGTTCGCTCACCTCCCGATCTACTGAGCCGACCTGTGACAGTCTCATTGTCACAGGTCGGCTAGAACTGTGAGGTGAGTGGAAATCACTCATCTCATAGTTCTCCTTTTTTAATGCAAAAAAAATCTCAGGAAATCCCCAAGTTTCATAATGGGCTCTGTTGATAACTCTTGCAACAGTTGTGCTTGTGAATGCAACTACAATCCGAAATGTTATACCAATGAAATATGGGAATTGGGCCCAGGAAAAAGCCTTTGATGTCCAAAAAGACCAGTGAATCAAAACTAGAATTGTTTGACTGCAGTGACAGTAGATATGATTGGTGCAAAGGAAAACCGCATCCAATTTGGAGTGCAGTTGATGAGCAAGGACAGGTTTATGATTGGCACCCGCCATACTGCCAGATTTGGAGACTGATGTGAAGATTTGAGTTGGGTTTTATTTATTTTTTGCATACATGAAGTAAGTTTTTGCCAAATGGGACAATACAAGCTTCTGTAGCCAAGGGCCTACTTGTGCTTTTCACAGTAAAATGTATCACCTGTTATTTGTAGTCTGTTTGGATAAAGTTCAAATATGTCGTACTGATGAGTTATACCACCACCTGCAGGAGTAAGATGCAAAGGCGAAAAAGAAAAGCCCAGCCCAGGGGGCAACCCCTGCTGGTGGCCCAGATCCCCCTCTGCCCAGGGGGATTCAGAATTGGCTGCCTCTTTTTTCATGGTCACAAAGGGTCCCGGAAGGCAGAGGCGGTACCATGTTTGCATTGGATTCAGCAAGTGATTGTTCGGGTTTAATGCCCTTGAAGTGACAGTCTCATCCCCCACCCCCCGGCTGCTTTTAAGGACTTACCTTAAATGGTGCCTCTTGATCCGATAATCTTCCTTCCACTTGTTTTCAAGAGTCAGTACTGGAGCTGGTCTGCCTGATCCAGTGCTGACTTCTGTGCCCCATGGTGTCTGTGCATGCTCCTGGCATACTCCTGCAGGTCATGGTGTAACCCATCAGTATGAGATGACGATCTCAGCTGTGTCTTTTAAAGAATGCATAGAGAAGGGTTTTATGGAGAGTACAAATGTGGTGTGTTTGTGGGGTGGTTTTTTTTGTTTTTTTTTAAACTAGGTATAGGAATATATCTGCTAAAGCATGTCTGGATGCTATGTGTGACAGACATTTGTATTTGACTTTATGTATATTTTTATATATAGGGCATATACTAGTTTTGGAGAATTATGCATATTGTATGCCAGTTCTGAGTTTGAACTTTTGTGTTTGAACAAAATTGTCATCTCACTTGCCTCTCTCTTTTTACAGGTACATGAATTTAGTGGAGCCAATAAGGATAGCTTGCTGCAGAAGCTATTGGAGCTGAAGTGAAAAGTTTATAACACATTGTAATCCAAACTTCCTTGCATTATAACCATGTTTAAAATCTGCTTCTATATAATTATATGAAGGAAACTCTCTTGCCTTTGGTGCTGAGGTCTTATGGATTCCTTATGTTTTCCAATAAATCTATATTGTACTGTTTTGAGTGGAGGATTTAAATAAAATGACTGCTAGAATCTGCTTCTGTCATGTGTTGCATTATTAATGCTTCTTTAATGTACGGGTATCAAAGGGTAATTGCACCTGTTACACCATTTGTCATGTTACACCTATATTTTAGTGGTACCATGAAACATGGTCACGATCTGCAGGTCATTTCCCAGGATCTGTGAATGAAACCACGCAGATTTAGTTGTTACCGTTTTCCATTGAGAACTACTTTGCCACACTTTTAATCCATTGATAACTTCCTCCACTCCCTCTAACCAAAAGTCTATTTTTGTATAGACCGGGACTGGAGGAGCAGTCTGTAGGTGCCTGGGCATTTGACACAAGATACACTGATTGTTCGCTCATTTTTTTACTGGATCATGTTGGGGAAAACACTTCAATACACCTGCATTGATAAACCTATTCAGGTTTCAAATTGTAGTGCAGAATATCACAACAAAAGTTTGCCACAGTATCCAATACAAGATCCTTGGTAAGGCTTATGTTTAAAAAAAATAAACCTTAAAATCGCATGCATTTATAAACTTATTCATATCTCAGATAACTTCTAGGTAATCTGGATACTGGTAATAGATTTGTACTGGTCTGACCAGTAATCAGGACACTGGTACTGGCTGAATACAAGGAGGGGAATTTATCAAAACTGGAGCAGTTGCCCATAGTAACCAATTGGCTTCTATCTTTTAGTTTTGTTCACTTAATATCTGTAAAAAAAGAAATCAAGCTAACTGGACTTGCTGTGTTTTTTCTTGAAGACATTTTGCTGTTTATCTGACTAGCTTTCTAAATTCAGAATTGAGAAAGCTAGTCGGATGACCAGCAAAACATCTTCAAGAACAATACAGCAAGTCCAGTTGGCTTGATTTATTTTGTACAGATATACCCTTACCTGGATGAATGAGAAGCTCCACAGGCATTTGTTCACTTACTTTGAAGATGGAAGCTGAATAATTGCCATGAGCAACAATCAGTGGCATCAGCAGAGAGTATTGAATCATCCACAAATCCTTTAGAGACCATAACATACAGGGGTACAGGTACTCTTAAAAACTAAGACCACACAGGGACTAATATAGTGTGTGTGTGTTGTATGTAATATATACAGGTGAAACTCGAATAATTAGAATATCGTGCAAAAGTAATTGCAGTAAGTGCTGCAAAAGGGGCCCAAACCAAGTACTGAGTGCATGCTTGTACTTTTCAGAGGTCTGATATTGTTCTATGTACAATCCTTGTTTTATTGATTACATGTAATCTACTTTTTTGAGGTTGTGGATTTGGGGTTTTCATGAGCTGTAAGCCATAATCATCACAATTAAATCTCTCTCTCAAACACATACGGTCACAAAAAGTTTGAACTTGGACCTGTGCCTTTTTTATTCAACCTCAAATACTATAACTGCTCCAGCTTTGATAAATTCTCCTCAGTGGGGAGAGGAAAGGGAGGGTGAACAATAGGATCCCTTCGCTGAATGAGAGCTGGAGTTCTCGGCCACAGTGGGAGATGAGTGCAGTCTGTAGTATCTGGCATTAATGAAGCTAGGATTTATGAAGTAAAAAGCAGTGAGCCAGACATAGGATAACTGTCATTAAAGGTAACTTTATTGGACTTGTGCTGTGTACATAAATAAAATCCTAGAGTTTCCATTGAACCCCCCCCCCAAAGGCCAGTGTGTAGTCTCCATGGAGAGCGTGGGTGACGGCACATGACAATTAGGAGAGCGGGACAGAGTGTTGTTCAGCCACTTCCTGGCCTCTGAATGAGCACATATATGGCAGAATTAACATGTACTATTGTTGCAACTGGGGACTGGTTGCTAAATACATGATCACTGACAGCCAATTGCATGATTGGAAGCCCAGCTCCATGCCTTTACATCCCTTAAAGGGCCAGCATCAGGGGTTTTATAAAATCTGCAGATTTAAAAACAGGGAAAACTACTTTTAAAATGGCATTCATGTTACAACTTTTTTGATAGTCTACAGATTATTTCCATCTACTTAAAGTAGTAATAAAGGCTGGGTGTTTTCTTACCTTAATACACTCTCTGCATTAAGGTATCTTTCTTTGTTCCCCTGTCCCCCCTGCACTAACCTGTGGTCACTGTCACCCACCGGGTCCAGAAAGACACTTGGAGTTCCTGAACTTCCAGGTTCTGGGGGAGGATACTGAGGGCAGAGGAGAGTTTGGCTTCTGCTACCGAATCTGTTGGAGGGAGCCAGGACATGGCTTGCTGTGTGTCTGTGGACGCACACACATGGGTGTCTCCTCAGCAGCTGGCTACAGGCGGGGGGAGCGGTTTGGGGAACTAGAGAAGGAGCAAATACAAAAATTAAAAGACTAGTGAATTATGCAAGTTGCCTAATATTCGTAAAGAGTGAAGGTTTAATCAGGCGGCTGTAGACTTTGTGAGGCCTTAAAGGGCGAAACTCAAACATGAGGCCCCCACTTGCACCCATAATGAAAAAAAAATGAAAACTGAACTGTATAAATTGCATATTTTAAGCCAATAACAATCGGCAAGTGTCAGGGCAATGATATCCCCGACAATGCAATTACATTATTATTACCATCAGCTATACAGGACCAAAAATCCCAGCAATACAGTATACATGTTTTGCTGAAATTTGTAGTCCTGTATAGCTGATGGCACTATTCTGCATTGCTGGTATTTAGTTCTCTAGTGCAGTGGTTCTCAACCTGTGTAACCTCAGGACCCACGTTTGTCCTCGGTCATTAAGTCGTAATGCACAGCAGTGCTGGGCATTTGGGTGCAGGTGATCTAACTGTGGGCGGGAGGTGCGTTTGGGGTGTCATTCAAATGAATGGCAACGCAACACACCGATTGCGTGGTGCAGTGCGTTAATCGCCGTGCGGCGATTAACGCACTGTACTAGTGTGAATGGACCCTCAAAAACACCGACAGACACAATCTCACACACATATACACTCCAAAAACATTATCATTTTTTCCTTTTTTAAGATCCACCCAGTCTTCCTACCTTACGCGAACTGGAGTATATCCTCAGCCCATGGTCCAGTTTGGGCTGCTGTACTGTGATGGAGCTCTATCCATATGTGCATTGCTTGTACACCTCCCTTGTGCACCCTGTAGAGGTGCCAGGAGCCACAATGTGACGTGAGTCCAGTCCAGGCATCTCTACAGTGCACATGTGGGAGCTGTAAGCAATGCATGTATGGATGGAGCTCCCTTATGGCCATACTTCCAGCCAACCACACCTCAAGCTGACAGTGCTGCGCTAGGGGGAGGCTGAGTGTCCCACCTAGAAAAGTGGAAGGCATGTGGTGACCCACTGAACATGGGGTCGCGACCCACTTTGGGGTCACGACCCACCAGTTGAGAACCAAGGCTCTAGTGTACAGGACTACAAATCCCAGCAATACATACAGCAATGCAGAAAACCATCAGCTGTACAGGCCCACAAATCCCATCCAGGCAGCCAGCAATACATTAAACAGCACAGCAATAAAAATTAGATAATAAAAAAAATTACACAATGCAGTACATGGCTTTGGGTGCTTTTGGTACTTTATATATGGCCTGGGCGCTTTTTTTTTCTTCTACATGGCCTGGGCGCTTTTTTTTTCTTCTACCTTTTCACACTCTCCAAACAGAATCCAGCTCCTTCTCCTGATGGGCACAGAGCTGGATTAAGAGCATCATGGGCCACATTCTGAGGCCTTTTTATGGGAATGGTGGTGGTTACTGGGGCACCTCTTCCTGCGACCGTTTCTACTGTATGGTCGCACGTCTTCTGTCTTCCGAGCAAGCTCTAAAACCTGCCGAGAATCATACGATTTTCGGCGGGTTAGTGACGTGCTCGGAAGACAAATGCCGAACGTGCCACTGTGCGCAAGCGCACACTGCTCGCTCAGCATTGGAATCATTGGAAGCCCTCCCCTCGGCGGAGAGGACTAGCGAAGATTGCAAGTACGATCTGCCTGTCCAAAGGTGCACACACACCTTACGATAATCGCGGGAAATCCCGCGATCGTACGATTATCGTAAGGAGTGTGGGAGCCGTGCGACCTCTGCTACTAAGGTGTATGGCCACCTTAAGTGTTCTTTACAAGAGGCTGCAGCTGCAGTACAATCAGACAAACACAGGAGAAAATATAACAGTATAGCACTCGCAGTAGTGTAAACCATGCTAAAGCAATAGTAAATCAGATGTGCTGAGGGAAAGGGTGATTGTGCAGCTTTACCTGTGTGCACACTGCCAGCAGACAGGATGTAATTGGAGGAAGGCTTCAGCTCTCACATAGTTGTGCAATGACTTCCAGCTGACTCTTCCAGTCCCCGGCTGCCGTTAACCCATCTTTCCCTGCTAGCTCCCCACCAGGCAGCTCCTCTCTGGTCCAGTCAGAACTTGAAAATGGTGCCGAAAGCTCAGGGCTTCTCATTGGTCAGGTGCACAGATTATTTAAATCCTCACCTGTTATTCAGGGCCGGAAATACAAGTTAAAGTGACATTAAAGTCAAATTTGTTCCCCCATGTTAATGTTAGTTCTTACCTTAAAGGAGAACTATGGGGTCAGTGTTTTTCCCCATAGTTCTCCTTAGGGTAACGGGATGACACAAACTAGCATCCTCCCGTTACCCTAAGCTCAGCTACAGCTCGCGGTATACTGAGACGCCGCACCTGGAGCGGATCCCGACGTAGATGACGGGATCCGCCCAGCTGCGTGAGTGACAGCTGGCTCTGCCTACCTAGAGGCAGAGCCAGCTGTACCCGCCCTCTCCCCCGTCCGTTCCGCCAGTCAGCGCTGGCAGATCGGAGAGGGGAATCCAGCCCCTCCCCCTGTCACGGCAGAGAGCCGTGACAGGATCGAGTGGTGAGGGAACCCAGTATGTGTTCCCTCACCTTCCGATCTACTGAGCCGACCTGTGACAGTCTCATTGTCACAGGTCGGCTTAGAACTATGAGGTGAGTGGAAATCACTCA